TCCCCAACTGTCTGTATTTTCTTTAGCTATGATTTCCAGAGTTCTTGGCATTGTTCGTTTAATAGCATGCTATGTTAACTATTGTCACTACCCATTTCTCTTTCTTTTATTTGTGGTTGAACTTCATTCATCTAAAGATCATGATGATGAAAATATTACCATTCAAAAGCAGAGACATTTGGAAAGTGTGAGCAAGAATGTTTACACTAAAGGGTTTGTCAGGTGTACGGTCTGACAAAGTGTCTGAGATCTTTTAAATATGACAGCCCATTCTGAAAAGCCAGAGTCCAAAAAGCTAGTGGCTCTTCCATCTGATGRTTCCCTGCCTACCTCCCCATCCTTTATGTCATACACACTTTAAGTCTTTAGGTGTTTAGGTTGTGTATATATTTCTTCATTCTCTGCATGTATCTCTATTACTGGTATAACAGCCGGGGTGCCGTGAATATAGGAAAACATAAATTGTATTACTGCTTCTGTATCCGACCTGAATATATGTATGGTTACTCTGCTGTATTCTCCCCACTACTCTGGATTGGTCACAGTCCGTGGAGTATTTTTGTAGTCAATTTTGACCTGAAAGTAATCATTTTACATTGACCCAGTGCTGCAATTGAGCCAAGTGCTCCAGGCAGTGGGAACATTGGACTGTGCAGGAGCAGCGGGTGTTGTGGTACACACTTGGTACCAGTCAGTTTGCACCTGCCTGCAAAAGCATCTTCACCTTCCGAGTACAAACTTACTCTGTAAGTAGCAGAGCTATATTAAGGCATCATCTGAGCAAACTGAGGCTGCTGTACCATCCTCAATCTATATTAAATCAACTTGGGAATCTGCTTCTGTGGTTGAGTTTTCCTGCTCAATCAATAATTTGTCTTTGATTAMTATTGTTGACTGTTAAGAGTAAAAGCTGACATCTAAAAATGAACTGCAAATTTTAATGAATTGTGATAGGAAGTTAAGACATCTCTAGTGAATGCGTCAAGAGATGATAAGTCAATTCCAGGTGCAGAGTCAATGCAGACAGGTTAAAACACGTTAAACGTTGTGTGATTGCCATCACTGATGTGTGAAGTGCTGTCACTGGTAGAGTCTTGTATGATGATTGTTGCATCAATCTGAATAGTCTTMCTGTAACACAGGATACAAATATTGCCAGCAATATTGTTTCTGCAGCATTGCAGAGATACCTGGTATAGTAAGGGATAATTCCCAAGAGTTAGCTGTTGGCTGTCTGAAGAGCAAAAAGTAAACCAGGCTGATTAATCTTTGTGACTGTTACTTACTCATCTATCATTGCTTTCCCTTCTAGGTAGCTACTTTTTTGCTAGTCAGAAATAGATAGTCTCTAGGGAGAGCAAGAAACATGTATACTGCCCCTGCATTTGACTTAAAAGGAGTTTGAGACTAATATATACTATGTTGTCAATAATAATGTAGAGAATGTAAGAAGCATTTGTATTTGGTGCTGTGGTAATGGTATTGAACATGGCTTGGTGAAATTACCAGGCTCAATGAGAAAGTGCAGCCTTTCTTAGAAGCATCACGCATGCCTTCCCTATGTAACTGGCTGTTCTATGGGAAAAATCTCTGGCTTCTCATTGTATCTCTTTCCTGTGTGTGGGACTAAAGTATGCAGGGTTTGCTTGACCTTATTTTTTTGGTCTGCAATATGGAAAAAAGGAACCAAAAACTGTGAAACCCTTAAGTCAAATAAATGTGGTAGTGACAGGAATTCATTCATGGAATCATAGAAAGTCCTGAGTTGGAAGGGACSTATAAGGATCATTGAAGTCCCAACTCCTGGCCCTGTGCAAGACRGCCCAGGAATTGTGCCATATCCCTGACAGTGTTGCCCAAATGCTTCTTGAATTCTGGCAGGTTGATGCTGTGTACACTTCCCTGGGGAGCCTGTTCTAGTGCCCAACCACCCCCTGGGTGAAGAACCTTTTCMCAGTAGCCAATCTAAACCTTTCCTGACTCAGCTTCAGGCCATTCCCATGTGTCCTGTCACTGGTCACCGCAGAGAAGAAATCAGTGCCTGCACCTCCTCTTCCCTTCACAGGGAAGTTGTAACAGCAATGAGGTCTCCCCTCAGTCCCCTCCAGACTGAGTGACCTTTCTGCTGCTCACACAGCTTCCCCTCCAGGCCCTTCCTCACATTTGTTGCCYTCCTTTGGATGCTCTCTAATAGCTTAATGTCTTTTTTTTGTTTTTGTGGCACCCAAAACTATACCCAGGACTTGAGATGAGGCCACACCAGTGAAGAGGGAAGTGGGACAATCATCTCTTTTGACTGGGTCTAGTTCCTTGCTAAACTTTGGAGACAATGCTTGTACTCACACTGCCTGACAAAGTACAGTAATGGCAGCTCTGAACCTGTGGTCTGTGTTGGTATTTCCTCTGCAGTTTCACAGCTCCAGTTGGGTGGGCGACAGCACTAACAAAAGGTGAAAATGGCAATAATAGAACAATTTGTTGCTGTTATTAGCAGATAATCTGTAGGTGAGTTTTGCTTTTAAATGGCAGTTAGTGAAACCAAATGTTTAAGCAATGTCAAACATGATTTATTAATAAAAAATGTGATTTAAATATTTTTTTGGTGGTTACTTCTTCATACCATACGTGTATACAGGTGAGTCACCTTTTGCTGAATCACTGAGTGGTGGCCCTCCCAGCATCAGTGTTTAGGGGTTTCCCGTTTCACAAGTGGGAAACTACCAGTAGTACCCAAGGAGAAAGGCTGTCCTGTCTCCGGCTAATCTTTGAATCTGGGGACATGTGGCATAGYGTGATCTAGTGATCAGAAAGGGACTAGCAGTGAAACCTTAGGAAATCTGTATCCTGCTCTGCTCATAGTTCCTTGTATGAGTTAGAGTAATTAATCTATCTTCCTTGTGCTCCATTATACACTCATGTAACTTCTGGAAATGCTAGATTGATAAAATACTCCTGACTTTTTAAATGAGAGATTACTACTGGTGCTTTTTATTAGTGCCATTAGTTTCCTCTGCGACTGAAATAAGTGTTACTGTGTGTCTYACATCTTCCTTTCTTGAGAAGAAGCCAGGCGTGGGAGTAGACACACTTAGGAAACCCCCCCATGTAAGTTTTGTGACTCCTGCCTTTGTAAGGGGTTGCTAAAGTTACTCATGGTTATTATTTCTTCACTGTTGACTTATGTACATGAAAATATTTGTGGATGCAGTAGCCATATTCCTAACGTTTATTAGTGTTAATGAACTCYGATCAACCAACTTAATTTTCCTTTGGTGTTTGTATCCAGCTATTTGCAGGACTGGTGCAGTGCATGAGAACTTACTGCATTTGGCCTTTCCGCTCACACCGTGCTTTGTTTGTTTTAACCAGGGGAAAGTAGATTGTATGCCTGCATAGCCAGTGTCCAGTGTGATCTCCTGGAAGCAGGAAGCCACTTCCAATCTGTGCTGTTAGGTGTTTGTGCTTTGCAGTAGCACCGAGCCCCTGTATCTATGAAAACAACCTTTAGTCCTTCAGAATCAATACTGGCAYCAGCAGCTTATAGCTCAACAGTTAAAATTAATGCAGAAAATCTCTCCCAGATCTCAGATCCAGATTTATGGCATATTTAATTTGAGCTATCTGCAGGTCATTCTCTGGGAAGGGCAGTCCCATACTTCCTGTCCTCACCACCTCCAGAGATCTGTTCCCATTAGCCACTGAATCTTTGACTCAAGTTTGGTTACAGCAAGCTCAACCCTACAAAAAAAAGTTGTTTTTTTTTGTATCAGTGAGCTCGTGGGTAGTTGTGAACTAGATCTACAGCAGAAGTAGTGAAAATGTGCAGCTTGAGAGAAGACTGAGTGGGGCCATCCCTTTMTCCTGATACTTATGGGTAGGTGAAACTAAATGCATTGTAAAATGGCACACAAGAGTTACATGAACAATTATTTCTAGTCCCTGAATCAAAAGCCAGTGATATAAAAAATGGTAAGGATCACAAATAGAAGGAAAGGAGGGGAAAGAGAAAAAGAAGGAGAAGGACAACTGGAAGTATTACAGGGAGTAAAGGTAACAAGGAGCTAGAAAAGCAGGAAGAAGATTAAAGAATAATCAGAAGATTGTGTGTTCACAAATAGTAGCAGCAGATATAGGTAAAAATTGGGAAATACCTTTCCCTGGTGGTTGAGCATACTGTCCTTGTTTTTCAAATATGATGAATGCTTCAGTATCAAAAAACAATTCTGATGTCTTTCTGGGTCGAACTGAAATGCCATTGTTTTTTGAGTAGTCCACAGTCATAACCTGGATGCTGAAAGCCAGAACCCTCCTTCCTGAGCTCAGTCTGGGTGAAGCAGGAASGGACAGCCACCGGCACAAATGCTTGTGCTGAGCAGCACTTGTTGCAGAAGAGGCACAGCTGTAAGAGACTGCTGAAAGGTCACTCTGAAGTGACTGTACCACCTCGGTCTGTTGGTTCACAAGTGGGSGGCTAGTCTGGATGTGGCTTTCATAAAGCCTTCATCCCGAGGTCACGGATTTCCATGTTCTGCCGCTCGCTRCTTTTCCCCGGGCAGCCCGGGCCGTGTAGGTGCCCAACTGGGCCAGCAGGTGGGGCTGGACAGGCGGTGTGCTCGGGGCTCTCTGCTCCRTGACCACAAGTGAGGGTTGCTTAAATCCCGGCGTCATTCACTTCCCTCAGCCGACTTGGAACTTCTGACATCTCCATRCAACTCTGCTCGAGGTCGTTCATGTCATTTAAACTGCAAGAACTGTCTTATGAAAGCACTGTGTTTTCTGTGTGGTTGAAAGCAGCTTCTTTCAATGAATTGGTTTGTTGGTTCTTTTTTCCTTTGTGATTAGGGAAATAAATTAGTTATCTGTTTAATTCATATTGCAATTAAGAGCTGTGTGAAACGAATAGTCTAGAAGTCCCTCTAGTTGAGACACATATGAAAGTGTTTCCTGTCACTCTGTTTTTACAGCTAAGAAAATCTTTGGGTTTGCTTTGTTTTCTGCAGCTGTTTGATGCTGTCAACTGCCTRGCAAAAGAGAATGCCCGGTTGCTTGTGCTGGGCCGCAAACATATGCTGAAGAACTCTTCAAATTGGAAAATAGAGATTATGAAGGAGATGCAGAACAAGGCAGACTTTTTCTTTGCAGAAAATATGTAAGTYGGAGAAAATTACTCCATATTTGTGTTTATTTTGTGTTTATTTTGCTGTARTTTTTAGTACCACTACTAGCATCCCTATCTATGTGTGTGTGAAAGAAACATATCCCTTGCTATACTTGCTTCAAAAACACATAAAAAGTTAYATTATGAAGACTCATCACTTAGAATCATATTGACAGCTGTATAGTTTATTAGCAGTTATGACTAATGAATCCACTGCACAGTGCCCTGAACTTACAGAATTTCTGGCATCATCAGTGTGCAGTTGTGGTCTGCTGCTGTGTGGTGAGGGTAAAATGTTGAGTTTCAGCAATTCTGTTCCACACAGCACTGTATTGTTAAACTTTGTTGCAGGAGATTATATTGTTGTATTACCAGACTGTGATAACAAGAAGAAAGTGCTCTAYGTAGCACACAATTAATTTTGATTGCACTTTAGCTTTTGGGTGCCCTGTGGTAAGCAGTTCTTTATTGTACSAGGAAACTAGAGTAGTGATGGGAATTTTCAGTGTTGCTAATGAATAAATCTTGATCAGCACTTGAATCATTTCCTGCAGCCGCTTACTGCCTTGTGAATGATGTCTGCCTTTTCCATTTGTTTTGTGAAGCTCTGACGACGATGCCTTCTTATTATATGCCACACTCCGATCAGGCAAGCATTGCAAGTTTGTTACTAGAGATTTCCTCCGGGATCACAAGGCTTGTCTTTCCGACAGCGGGATGCGTCATCTGTTCCGTAAGTGGCAGCGTGGACACCAGATAGCGTTCTCCGCTTCTGCAGAAGGGAGTATAAAATTTTTGGTAAGTTTTCCTGCAGCAGTCAGAACATATACAGAGCATATTCACTGAAGATACATTATTTCAAACTCTGAAAGCCAAACTATCTTGTTGAAGTCTAAGAAATGGATTTGTAGAATGCACTCAAAACTTCCATGTTTACTGAAAATGCAGTGTATTCACAAAGTGTGCCACAAACAAGAAAACTGTCAGAAAGCCAAGAAATGCTATCTAAATGTTTAAAATGTAAATCAAGTTTGTGTATACAATCTCTCCAATGCTGGAAACTCTGTAACCATTACTGGCCTCAATAAAACCTGAGTGCCAATGGTTTAATTTATTTTAAACTTTGAAATCCCTTACTCTCCTCTGCAGCACAGTTATAAAATATCATACTTCTAATTTTATAGTAGAATTTCTTTCACCTTTGTTTTAAAGAAGCAGGGAAATACAGATATTGCAGTATTTATTCTAATAGTAACCTAACATAGGTATAAAGCTTCATGAAGGAAAGCCCAGAACAGTCAGGTTTATAGTCAGTATTCAGCTGCAGAAATTTCAGTAACATCATGTGATGCCAGAATACTACTGTTATTGTCTAGGAGATATATATCCTTGTGAATGGTACATTAAAAGGAATGCAGCTGTTGTAAGATTTTTCTAGGGAAAAGTTCATCATGTGACATTCTGTGTGCAGTTTTTTTGTTTTCTGGTCTGTCTTTTGTTACTGCCTGCTTAAAGGAATACTGCACCTATGCAGATGAATTATCTTCCTTCTCTGGTTAAAATTGTAAAACAACATTCATAATTACAATCAGAGATACCAGTTTGTAAGAATGACAGCCTTTCATTCAGTGTTGCCCTATATACACTTCTCCTTATGGRGCCAAATAGTGAATGTTGGGTAACCTGAGTAACACAGCTTTAGCTACCCGTTGTTTCTTTCTTTTGTTCAAAGGGACTACTAATTTTCACATCTTAATTACCACACAAGTGATTTGGATGGTTGATATTTCCAGTCATAGCTGTCTTCTAGGTTATTCTGGAAGCTACCATAGGAAAGTAGACTTCCAAGACTGTATATATGGAGTCATAATATGTCCCGAGAACCATAATTGCCAGACYGTAATGTTTTTTTTTGTATTTGTGTTATATATACTGAACTGGTATACCTGTAACATAATAGACCAGAAAAAATGTTTATTCTGTTTGTTTGACCAGATGCTTGTGAAAGTGTTTGTGATAAACCTTTTTCTTAGGTCTCCTTGGGACAGAGCAAGTGAGCTCTGTAAAGAGAGAGGCTGGGAGAACAAATACAAGATGTCATTAATGTCATTAAATCCTATCAGTTCAAGCCTATAAACTCCACATCCTGAGCAATTCCCATATGATTTCATTGAACTGAACAGAAAAACAATCATTTTGCTGCTTCTAGAAATGGAGTGCATTATGCTCAAATGATTATTATCTGGTGCTGATTGAAAGCAGAATTTATAATGACTCCTAGACCACAAAATACTAAAAGATAGTTTTTCCTCCAGTACTAAAATTTAGAATTTGTTTTGTGTAAGGAAATAAAATGAGAGTTGTTAAGAGATGAAACTATGGAGAGTTCTAAGGTAATGTAATTGGAAGTCGTAACTACCTGTAATTGATATTTGAGTAATATGTTTGTATAAAATCTAAAAAAAATGTTTTTCCTCTCTTTTTTCTGAACAGCCTGCTTTCTGTTATGACTGTGTGGTACAGACTACAGGTGATACATGGCATATTCCCTATAAAGATGTTTTTGAAGAAAAATATTCATATCAAGTACCAACAAAATGGCTCTGCATTCGACAGAAATGATGAAGAATGTAMTTGGACAAGCTGAAGCGGCTTTTTTTTTTCAATCACTCCTGCTGGCTAGAACTCAGTAGGACAATTATGGGATTAATGTGTGAGGTGTGTAAGTAAAGAAAATTCAATGACTGCATTTTGTTAAAATCATTCCTGTGTACATCTGTTAACATCAATGGTGATCCAGCAGGGATGAATTAGGTCCATTATTCCATTATTTCCATTTTTACAGGCAATTTCTGTGATTTAAATTAAAATTTGATTTTTCCTGTTGGAATAACAGTTTGGAGGGTTTTATCTTTTATTTTTCTCAAGCTTTTCATCTACACTGAAATTCATAAACTCTGTACTTTGAAGAAATTAAGCAGGACTTGCAAAGGACCTTCAGAGTTTATGAGGTTGATCTTGCCACAGTGTTGCACAATATCTATCTCTAATCAATGAGGCTAAGGGGGACAAAGGGTACATTTACCATTCACCAGACACACACAGACCTGATACTTCCTCACTCTAATTAGCATTCATTTAATCATTAATTGATTCATGGAATGCAAGATTGATTATAGCAACATATAGTAATTTTCTTTTAAGAATAAGGAAACAACTAGTAGAATGTTTTGTGGCTCTTGCACACTCTTAAATTTGCCATTTGTGACAGGATTTGGCATCACTGCAGTAGTTTGCTTATGGAAATGTATGTAATTTTTAAATGAAAATTGATAGCTAGAAATTTTCAAAGATAGTAATAGGACAGAACTGGTTCTTGTATGTGGCTATAAAATCTATCCCAAGTTGTAAAACAAAAAAATAGTATAAATTACAAGAAAAGTGTTCTAAGTTATTTGTAAGCATGTGTATGTGTTTGTTTATTGCCCATACAACTTTAATGTCAACCTTTCTCCTCCCAAAACATAGAAATGCCTCATAAATCTCAGATCAAATATCCTAGGTTTGTCACAAGTGTCTCGTACACTGGAAAGTCTCTGTCTGAAACTGAGATGAACCATGAACCATGCAGATCTTTTTGTACAGAACTTGCACTTCGGAGCTCTTGCAGTGCCCCATGGCAAGCTCTCTCAGGACTCCTAGCATTCAAGCATGTTCCCTGCTATTTTTTTTTCCGGGATAGTTCTGACACATGTTCTACTTCTGGTATCAGTTTGTAGACCAGCAGCTGTGATTTGCATATGGTCATGTTCTTCAGGTACTGTGCAGAAAGTATTAAGGAGTTGGGTACCTGTTAAGTTAACATAAGACCTTGGCTTTAAATTCATCATATTGTTGGTAGTGTTCACCACAGACCCCTTTCCTGACAGAACATGACAGCTCCAATGGAGTCCACCAGGGAAGGCAGAAAGATTGGATCTACTTATTTCATTCCTCAATACTTTCGTCAGAAGACTGCTTTTATAATTCTTTAAGTCAGACAACTGCCTCATCTCTTTGAAAGTGGGAATCATGCTTTTAAACTAAGTGTCTGCTCCTGTACAGGACTGCTTAGTTAGCAGCAGCTGCTCTGTACAGGCTCCCTCACCCTCTGCATGAAGTTCTGCATGGCATAAACTGGTGTGAATCAGTGCTGTTACAGTCCTCATTTGGTACTAGCTCTGATGGTTATGCAGCCCGAAGCAATTCAGAGCTGGGTCTTAAAAATTTGTTTTGGCTAGTACAGGATTGGTGTTGTTGCATTGAACTAGCACAAATACTGGTACCTATGTGGGAGTGGGGCTGACATGTCAGGCTGCAGAAGGTGGGTCCCTGCAGCAGCTCTGCCTTAGGTCAGCCCTAGCTGGACAGAAGCTGCACCTCCAGGATATCCATTTCATTGTCAGACATGTTCATCTGCTGAAATTTGTATTTTACCTCACCCTGCATAATATCCGCATATAACTGTAATATATGCATCCTTTGCTTTTTTTTTTGCAGAGGACATGTCCCTAATCAATCACTTGGGCATCACCTCAAAAACTGTTCTTACAGAGATTTTATAATGCCCTCTAAGTAGTAACACTTCCTAACTACACAATACTAGTATATTTAGGGGATGATGGAACAAAATCTGGAATTTACAACTGGAAAGCATTGGTGTCAGATTTGTGACTTCTTTTTTCTATGTTTGCTGCTAATACAGAATTTGACTCTTAATACGGTTGATCAGAGGTGATGAACGTTAAACAAAAACCATGTGATTGCTCTTCTGAAACAATGCCATACTCTGGAAGCTGTATCCTCAAAGTAGCATAACTTCTACTCCGTCATGTCCATGGGTATTGAGCAACTATTACTCTTTCCTTAATCTATACAAATACTGAATCTTTGATTCCAAACTTAAGGATTTTCTTGGCAATCACTCCTTGGCAGTCAGGCYGAACACTTAATATTTATTTCCACTGTCTCATCCCCTTTTTCTCAAGGGAAAAAAAAATAAGAGAATGAAAGAACTTTGTACATGGAAGAACTAAAGATAGGGATCATCATCGTGGAGAAACTGGTCTCAAGAGACTTAGAAGTTAGTGCAAACGCATCTAATGGTACTGACAGATAAAAGGTTCAGATAAAAGGGAAGCTTTCAGACAAAACCACACAGCATGTTGTTATGCTGAGTACCTTTTTGCCAGGGCATGTCATGGATTCAAGAAGTTCACGTGGGTTCAAGGGGAGACCAACAAGTTCATTAAAGGGAATCAGCAAGGGTTGCTAAATAACCAAATAGCATCCCTGCCTTGGGAAGTCCCTCCAGATGGTTGGAGACTTGGAAAGGATTCAGACAGTGTATCATTAAAGGCTCTCTCTATTCTTGATACCTTGGGCATCCCCTTTTGGCCACATTTGGAGACAGAGCATTGGACAAGACAGACTCTGTCTGCAGACGCGGTCATTTCATGTTCTCTGTGTTCCAGCTTSCATCACCTTTAAACATTTCATGTCTGCCCACACAGTCCTTCCCTAATCAAAGGGACAAACTGAGTCTTCTAATACATAGAGTCATTATTCTCCCACAGTATTAAAAGCAAGGAGAAGTATTTTGAAAAAATTGAGAATGCRGACTTTTATTGTGTGGCATGCACAAAATCCACCTTTATTCTATTTCCAACAAAGAATATGCTCACCTAATAATTTTTAAATAGGGATGTGGATCCCAGAACACAGGTCTTCCAACTCTTAATGGCCAACTTTTAAAAAATGCCTTCYCACAAAAAGTAGGGGAAATCCAAGATTTTGAAAGGCAAAAAGTTCATATATTCACGAGTTTTAATTTGGGGAATTTCCCTTTGTACTGGTCACGGATAAAAAGTCTTTTAAACGTCGCATTATAAGGCAGCTGCGGCAACAATTACTTATGAATATCTTAAACATTTGTTTTAAGGTATTTGCTTTAAAACTATACTCATTGAAGAGCACGCGCGGAACTTTAGGAGGGGTTTTGTTTTCCTGGCTGGCTGGTGATACTTCCATCCAGTGTCGATGGATAGGGCGATGATGATGCTTTTATTCTGTCGTTTCCTSGCGCATTCCCTCCGGCAGGGGCGAGTGTTTTTACGTTTCAGTGGCTCAGACCCGCTCCATGATGCCGACAGCCCTCAGCGGGCACAGCTCCGCCCACAGCTCCGCGCTGCGTTTCTCTCGCGACCCGCGTGACGTGGCGGCGGCCGCGGGGCTCGGGCATGCGCAGCGCCGGGCACGGAGCGTGACGGTGCGGGCGAGGCGCGCGCCTCCGCGCCTGCGCGGGCTGGGCGCGTGACCCGGAAGCGCTCCGGCAGTGCCTGCGGCTGCGGCGGGGCTCTGCACGCGGACAGCTCCCCCCGGCCGCGCGCCGCTCCCGCGCCGCTCCCGCCATGTCCCGCGGCTCCAGCGCCGGCTTCGACCGGCACATCACCATCTTCTCGCCCGAGGGCCGCCTCTACCAAGTCGGTGCGTGTCCGGGCCCGCGGCGCCGCCGCCGGATTGCCCCGTCACGGGCCCGGCCTGCCCGCGCCCCCGCCGCWSCCCCGCCGCTCCCCCGCCGCTCCCCGCCGAGCGGGGCTGCGGCCCACTCGGGAAAGCTCCGCTGAGCCCCGCAGCCTGTGTAGAGGGGGAGACGCGGCGCATCTCGTGGCTCGGGAGTCTCGGTTCCCACCCGGCCTGGTCCCGCGATGTGTGGGGAAAAGCCTGGTGGGAGCGCGGAGCAGCGGCGGTCCCGGTCATGCCAGCGTTGGGATCCGGGGAAGGGAGATATGATATTCCTCGCATGAGATAAGGAAAACTTAGAGCCATGGTGGGCTCTCTTGAGTGTCCCCTGCCACGGGGAGGGGCCTCCTCTGAGTCCTCGGTCTTTGATTTCACATGCTCGAAGACCAAACTTGCAGCTATCCAGAGACCGTTTTATCCCCCTGAAGTGTTTCTCTCGGTGTGTCTTGCCGAGCCTCGGTCGCTGCGTTTTGTGATCTGAGAACTGTGCGATAGCTGTTTGAAATGGGATTTGAACTGCCTCAAACCCTGCATGCCAGAGTGACGAAGTCATTTTTTGGATGTAACTCATGCACTTTTTTGTTATACTTGAGTGCCTTGTGTTCTGCACAGTGTGGCCTGTGAGATAGCAGCAATTATCCTTTGTTTTCAAGTATCTTGGTACGGTCTGAAGCCAGGCTTCAGCTTCTTCTGTAAGCTACTGAGTCTGTTATTCCTGTTTTTGCAGTGCAGCATCAGGAAGTGCATCCTGGTGGTCCTTGTGTAGGATACTTGGTGACAGCACAGTCAGCTCACAGTCTGGTGGGACAGGTGTTTGAGAGTGCTTCTGGAGGATGCCCACAGTGGGGACAGACGAACTGTTCTGCAGCATCATCCTGATGCTCTCTTCCCCAGCTGCAGTGGCTTCACTGCACATCCATTGTGTGTTACATCCTCACATCTGCCTCTTCTCCAGGAAAGAAGCTTGCTGGGATCAGATTGCATGCATTACGCGTGATGCCATATAGACTTTTTGTGACTGCACTTGAGTTTTTCTCAGGAAGAAGCCTGTGTGGATTAGGCCTCATGGGCAGGCAGCCCAGTCTTTAGCAATCCKTTCTGGCGGGGAAGAGTTAGGAAGATGCCTGTAGGTGTGTGTACACAGACAGAAAGTTACTTCCCCTAAATACCTACATACGGATGCTGTCTTGTCACTGGAGCATGTAAAATGCTCGCGTGCAGCTTCTGTGGTGAGCCTTATACATAGAGATTGTAGGGACAGTGCTTCCTCACACACGGTGTCAGTGGTTCTGTGACAGAAGAGTCCTGGGCCTTCCACTGCCATCAAAACAGACTGGTTGGTCTGCATCTTTCCTGGCTGTCTCTGTCACAGTACTACTTGCTGGGAATGGTTTCTGCATTCTGGAGCAGAAGGAAACCAAGTCTTGGTTTTCTGCCTCTGGGKTGTATTTAGCCATTAGGTTAATGTATGAGAAATGTAGTACCTCCATACCTTTTAACAGTGTCTTAGAAGCAAGTATCTGCATATGTATTTGAGAGCTTCCTGCATACAGCTTTAAGCTGTCTTAAAGCTATTTTAAGTATCTATGTGCTATAGGAAGAAAAATATGTAGATGTGTGTAGTTAACTTCAAGCAAGAATGAGCTCACTTTACCCACAGCCAGGTTGGCAACTTGGGCATGGTGCCACGTGGGTGTCCCTGTTTGCCAGCATCTAGCCACAGAGTGGGCAGAAATCTCATGTTTGCTTGCAATCAGATGTCCAGATCTATGTGGCTTTGTTTTATCTTTGTCCCTGTGTTGGRTTAAAAATACTTACAGGCTGTCCAGGATGAGCATGGACATATGTTGCTTTAAGATTGCCTTAAAACTTGAGGCTTTTCTGGAATTTGGCAGTATGGGAACACAGATTTCCAGCATAGTGATATTGGACTGAAATGCCTATACTTGGTCTTAGCTCTGTCTTCTGCTTCCAAAGCTCAAAAAATTCATGTACCTTTGAAGCACATGAATTGATCTCATATTAGAAAACTGAACAGTTATTTCACATTGCTGTGGTTGAAATCCCTCAGAGGATCAGTGTTCTCTTGCTACCTATTAGTTTCAATCTTCAAAGGTGATGTTTCTTCTAAGTGGAGTTTTGGGAGATGAAGAAAATTACCATGGTCAAATTTCTGTTGCAATGTATTTAGGGAACAGCTAACGGCTGTTTTTTTCAGAGAGGATGTCTGCAATGGTACTGAGATACTTAAATAGCAGTAAACAGATGTAAAACAGCACTAGCAACTTGGCTTTGT